TGCAGTGTGCAGTGTGCAGTGTGCAGTGCCGTTACCTGCCGCACTGCCCTGCACGTTGCTCCTCCTCCTCAGGCTGTGCTCCAGGAGCTGGTGGGTGCGAGTGGGACTGGCCCCGGCCATCAGCCGCACCGTCGTCTCGTGGAGGAACAGCTGGACAGGACACACGCACACACAGAGAGAGACACTGTCAACACGGCTGCAGCTTCACATCCCACCTACAGCAACTGAGTCTGCTTCTGACTTCAGAGCTACGGCCACATCACCCCGATACAGTCCCTGCTGATAATCACAGCCCCGCAGAGAAAAACGATCAACCGGTCTATCGCTGCGAAGAGTACAATCAGAAACACATGTGAGCTGCCTGCAGAGCGAGCTCGACGGAGCCGGAAGGGATCCCTCTTCTGCAGATGAAGAGGAAGAGCAGGACGGCGGCAGGCGGGAAGCTGACCTTGTGCTGGGCCTGGCGGCAGCAGTGGCCCAGCCTGCGCAGGGCGCTCAGGTCCCTCTGGAAGCCGGCCAGCTGCGCCCCGGGGGCGGGGCCCGACTCCCCGCTGGCTCCGCCTCCTCGCTGCCACAGGCTGGTCCTCAGGGTCAGCAGGAGGTCACACACCAGGAGCTCCACCCCCTAGGACAGGGCCAGCCAGAGAGGGAATCATTACGGGCACGGGCACTCCTGATTCGACACCCGCGAGCTTTTCATCACTTGACGGAGCGTGTCCGAGTCTTGTACCCCCACTGGCCGGGGCCACAGAGGGAGCGAGAGACAGTTCGGGTCACAGGTCAAGTGTCCATCATCAGACCCCTACTCTACCAGGTGTCAGACTGCATGATGAGACCCCCCCCCCCAGACCCAGACCCACACAAAGTAAAGGAGTTCTCAGGGCCTCACTGGGACAGTGGCCTCTTTTCTCTCCCTTGAACGTGCGACAAGAATAAATGCAGCACAGTCTTCTGTGATCAGAAAGCACTCCCAGGGCTTCTTGTACCCAGAGAGCGGCGCGCGACAGGGGTGTATGTGGACTGTGTCTGGAGGAGGGGCCCTGCACTTGACACGTGTGGGTATCCCAGGGGCCAGAGCGGCCACACTAACTAGATCTTCGGGGGGGGGGGCTCGGTATGTGGCGCCTGTTGCCGGACTGCGTCGGGGGGCGCCGTGTGGAGCACGTGGAGATGCGGAGGGCCTCTGTACTGCACTGGAGACACATTGCACTGTGCTGCAGGATCATGCAATGCAACTACAATGCACCACAGCCGCCCCCCTCCTGGAGGCTGCCCCCACACCCCCCTCGCCGCCCTGGCAGGGGCACACGGGGACCAAGTGGCGCACCTGCGCCGCGTCTTACCTTGTTGAGCCCCGACCGGCTCTGAGACAGCGGCGCCGCGATGCTGCCCCACAGGTGCCCGCTGGCCCGGTCGCAGTGGGCCAGGCAGGTGGGCACGGCCTCGCTCTTCAGGGCGCCCAAGCTGAGCTGCACCGTCTTGCACAGCTGGAGAACGGCCTTGGGCAGGGGGTGACTGCAGCACACAGGGGGGTTAACGCAGACATGCAGAAGTACAGACAAACCATCGGAAATCAAGCACTGGTCCCTAACACAGACTCCAGAGGCACCCCTAACACCCCAGGACCGACTCTGACACACTTAACAAAGGATTTCACAATACAGAAACCAGAGATTCTCCTAAAAGAGGAACAAATACAGACCCTCGACTAACACAGAGATTAATACAGACCCTAATACAGACCCTAGAGACACTCCTCACACACAGAGATTAATACAGACCCCAATACTGACCCTGGAGATACCCTCAACCTTAGATTATTGACTATAACACACCTAACAGAGGGATTCTCAACGTAAAAACCAGAGATGGTCCTAAAATACACCCTAATATAGGTCATAGAGAGATTAACAAATACAAGTACTGTACATACCGAAAGATCAATACAGACCCTAACATAGACCCTAGAGACACTCCTAAATTAGATCTCCTTCTAACAGAGAAACTAACATTGGCCGCAGTCAAGTCCCCAGACGCTCCTGACAAAGAGAAACGAATTCAGACACCTCACAGGGAGGGGAAAAGAGCCCCAGTCACAGACACTCACTCCAGGCTGTGCAGGGCCTTCGGCATGCGCTCCACCTCGGCCAGCAGCGACCTCACCGTCGCGTCGTCGCCCTGCAGCCAGTGAGCCGCCGCCTTCAGCACCGCCGCCCACCAGCGGCACACAGGGTCTCCGCCTGAGCGGAGAAAACAGACCCCTGAGCGCCACAAGCGGTCGGCCCTCCCTGCGTACAAACCCATCATCACCCCCCCTTCCCTCCGGCCATGCATGACACTGCCATCAGGGGGCGCTGAGGTTGGCGGCGCTGCCTCACAGCGCTTGGGGCCCTGGGCTCAATTTCAGACCTGGGGTGCTGTCTGGGTGGAGTTTGCATGTTCTCGCCGTGTCCACCTGGGTTTCTGCTGGGTGCTCTGGCTTCCTCTCACAGTTGAGGGACACACTGGTGGGTTAATTGGCTCCTGGGAAAACTGGCCCTGGTGTGTGTGTGTGTGTGTGTGTGTGTGTCCGTCCTGTGATGAACTGGGTCCAGGATGCACCCCAGGGCGAACCCCGACTTATGCCTGTTGCTTGCTGGGATAGCTCCCCCAGGACCCTGAACTGGACAAGGAGGACAGAAACTGGACGCATATTCATCTGTGCTGCACCCATCCCTAAAAACATCTCGCCCTCCGTGGATTTGCCAGACCCTTGTCCTGGGGAGATCTGTGGCGGCACACTGGGATATTCTAGCTTGCGGTCAGCAGTGTCCACTATTGTCCACCGAGACCGAGACTGACTTCATGAGCCGCAGGGGGTGTCCCGACCGCGAGGACGCAAGTTTCCGATCTCTCCGGGAGGGACAGGTCCGACACCGCGG